CCCCCCCCCCCGTCCCGTCCCGTCCCGTCCCGTCCCGTCCCGAAGGCGGTTATCCCGTACTTGCTCGAACCACGAGGTGATGACGGGGACTGGGGTGAGAGCACCGATTCCGCCTCCGCCGGAGGAGTCGGGGGAGCCGCGGCTGGGATGATAACGTGCCCTGTTGACGCTCTCCGGGTGCAGGAGGTCCTGTGCAGCACGGGCCAGGTCCTAGGGGACACAGGTACCGTCGTCGGTAAATCCGGCTAGTGGTTTCGGAGTTTGAATTTGTTTGTGTCAAGTTCAGAGCATAATTGTTGTACTTTTCACGAGCGTTTCCCCCAGATAGGAGGGGGAAAAGTTGTATTCCATTTTCGAGCCCCCAAAAAGGGCGGAGTCGGGCGTGTGTCAAGTGCTGTGAGCAGCGAGCACGCTTGCAGGCGGAATTTTCTGGTCCGAAACCAGGATTTTTGCTTCCACGTTGGCGGGTAAACATGGCCGTTTCAGATATTTGGTTGTTTCGTGTTAGTTGTTTCCGATGGGGAGAGAGGCATCCTCTTTCTTTCAAGGGCGTTGAACGCCGCGTGACACTCACGCTTCAACTCTTTACAAAGTTGTTCTCGATGACGTTTATGTTTGCTGTGGTCTGTAAAACTGTAGGAGGAGGAGGTGCACGAGATGGTGGAGCGCCTGAACCTCTGGTGTCGATCGCCGTCCAGTTATTGCATATACTATCACCGGACGACTTAGTACCAGGTAAGAGTCCTGGCTGAGGCCGTGTACCACCCGATTTGAATCAAGACTTGATCAAGACTTGACGCCCGTCCGTCTGTGCCGTTAGCTTCGACAGGGAAGGCTTTCTGCTTGAGTTGTGTCACCAGGCAACTTGGTGGTACCGTAAGGTGGCGGGTCAGCGCACAAGGGGTGCGATCGATTTCCAAAGCGTAATTTCTACACAACCAGGAGCGTGCGAACGCCGACTGATGCTTCTCAGGAAAGGAAAGCTCTCGATGAAGTTTTTCCAAAACCGCCCTTCTCGACAGTGATAACCTGTTGGTTGTGGATACATTACGGTTAGAAAATCGTTCGAACCCCTGTGCGCTGGCTCGCATCCTCCCCGTAGGTAAGAGCCTTGGCTGAGGCCGTCGAAGGACCTCGCCGCTGGTTTCGACAGGCAAGGCTACATGCTTCAGAAGTGAAATATTGAGTGTCGACGTCCAGCACTGGCGAGCACCCTGCTGATACCTACCGCGGATGCTGTCGCTGACGGGAGGTGGCGTCGACTGTGGCACTCTTGCCATGGACGTTTTGTCGGATTCCGATGTCACGTGGCGCAGCTTCAGGCTTGGTTCATCGCTCGCTTTGAGGTGGATAGTCAGCTAGGCACAAGGGTCTAGCAACACAAGAGGAGAATAAAAAAAATCAGGAGAGACTTGCATCCCCCCCCCCCCCC